GACAATGATAGTGTAGCCATTAATGAGACATTTAATTGCTGAAAAATAATTTTGAAACAGAGGGCAGTTATGTGATGTCCAGCAATCTTGGCCAGTTGGGCCAAAGATTCAGTGTGAGGACCCCACAGTGTTGGGGCTTGAATATTCAGGCCAACTGCCAGAGCTAAGGTCCTTCAGGCTGTCCCTACCCCAGGCTCCTGAAATGATGGTGTTCTGGGATTTGACAAGGTCAGCTGTGTGCAAATGTATGTGCCTTAACCCCGGCACTGTCTCTCAGGATCCTGACAGAATAGTTTTCTTGTGCTTCAAAATATTCTGTAAGTTATGGAAGATGGAGGCTAGTGAAGTTGCACAGGGCTGTGCCAGACCCCAGTTCACTTACAGTATCACACAGTCCCCAAATATCACCAAGTCTAACCCAAGAGACCCAGAGCAATGGCAAGATGCGCTGGGTGGTTCCTGTTACTGCAGAGCCAGAGCAGCGATGCATTTTCCATCCCAGCATGGAACCATTGGCCCCTTTAACTGAATCTGGCCAGCAGTGGCCTCAGCTTCTCTTTGCAGCACTTACTAGGACCTTCTCCTCCCTCCACCCCCTGCAAATAAATAAATAAATCACTGCCACTGTCACTGTCCTCCCGTTGTTCATCGATTTGCTCAAGAGGGCCCAGTAACGTCTCCATTGGAGACTTTGTTGTTACTGTGTTTGGCTAAAATAAAACAACCTCATGTTCTTAGGTATGAACTATAAATATAATATAAAACTTTAAAATATACTGTCACTGTCACTGTCCTCCCTTTGTTCATCGATTTGCTTGAGCAGGACCACTAACGTCTCCATCGTGAGACTTGTTACTGTGTTTGGCATATTGAATACGTCACGGGGAGCTTAGGCTTTGCTGTGTGGGTGAGATAGTCTTGGTAGCTTGCTGGGCTCTCTGAGAGGGGTGGAGGAATCGAATCCTGCTCAGCCAGGCCGGCTGCACGCAAGGCAAACGCCCTACCACTGTGCTATCGCTCTAGCCCTTAAAAATATAAACTTTAAAAAATTTAAAATCTTGTCATGGCTTTGTTTACTATGATGAATTAAGAATTAGTATTTGATTAAATATTTAAGATTTAAAATTGTTTTATTGTCATGTATTTTTCTGAATTATCTTTGCTTATATTTTGTTTATGTTCATTGATATAGAATTGAGATTTTATAATTGATAAAAAGAGGAATTTGAGGCCAACTTCAGGAAACAAATCAGTAGTATCTATTATATATGAAAAAGGAATCATCTTTACTTTTTTACATTTTGTAAATTATCAGTGATCTCAAATTTGTCTGGTTTTTAACAAAACAGTAAATGATTTTATGGCAGTATTAAGGGATTTTCTGACTTAATTTGCATTATAATTTGAAATTCACTATGAAACATCATACCTTTTTATTTTACTTCTTAGCATCAATACCAAGGCTGTACCATTATGATGTTAAAGTACTTGATAGCTAAGGAAAATGCCATAGAATTAGAATACAAAACCCTAAGTTTAAAAAGTAGGTTGTATCTGAAGCTTGTTTTATATAAAAACTCAATGCTAAACATGGTTTATGATTGTAATCAGTTAATTAGTTTACTTGCCATGGGGAGAGAAGCCAAAAATGCATAACACAATTTTATTTCCAACTGTAAATAAATGCATAGCTTTCCCAAAAATTATCTTTTTAAAAGTCTTTGCTCCTTGTAAGTTACTCATTTTGTTTTGACTCTCATCCTTTTTGCAAGTCTACTTCCTTTTATTTCAAAGCCTCCAATAATCCCTTAGTAGTTTTGCCTACTTTGTTACCTCCAGGATGATTAATCCATGTTAGCAAATGATTTCTCCACAAGGAAGAACTAGAAATAGATTTTTTTTACTCATCTAAATGCTTAGTAAATTTCTTACTAAGCAAATGTGAAATTTTGCTTCTCTGGCTTTACATTTCATTTAAATTTGATCGTGGATATTATTCTGTACCAAATGGTTCCCAGATAATTTTGCATGTGCAGTTGGAAACATGCCATCCAGCAACTAACTTGAGCATTATTTTTGACAGTTCAATGTACCATTATATGAAGTACTATAATTATGCTCAACGATTAAGCCAAAACCAAACCCCAAATTTTGTATAACTGTTGTGATGACAGTGTTCTTATAGGAACATTAAATAGTAAATTGTCTTTGCAGCATATATTAGCATTTATTCACGCACACATATATGCATACAGATATAAATAAAAATAAATTATTAGTGTAAAGGTTTGAAAAGAAATTGTGTTTATAGTATTATAAATAGTATTTATAATACTTATATATATTATAGATACAGCCATATAGTAAAAGAACCTGCTACATTGAAAGTCATTTTAAATTTCTTAAAATATATGTATATGAATATATATATGTGTGTAAACATATATATAATATATATAGATCTATATAAATATATAGATGGAAATATTCAGGCGTTACTCAAAATAAATTTATTAGTGTAAAGGTTTGAGAAGAAATTTTGTATATAGTATTATAAATATATTTATAATCACGGTCACGGTCCTCCCGATAATCACCGATTTTCTCGAGCAGGCCCAGTAACGTCTCCATCGTGAGACTTGTTGTTACTGTGTTTGGTGTATCGAATACGTCACGGGGAGCTTGCCAGACTCTGCCGTGCAGGCGAGATACTCTTGGTAGCTTGCCGGGCTCTCCGAGAGGGGCGGAGGAATTGAACCCGGCTCAGCTGTGCTGGCTGCATGCAAGGCAAATGCCCTACCACTGTGCTATCGCTCCAGCCCTATATTTATAATATTTATACATATTATAGATTCAGCCATCTAGTAAAAGAATTTGCTACATTCAAAGTCATTTTCAATTTCTTCATATATATGTATATGAATATATATGTGTATAAATATATGTATATATATCATATATAGAGAGAGATGGGAATATTCAGGGTTTACTCCTGGTTCTGTTTTAATATATACATATATTTAATTTTTTAAAACTTGAATCACAGTGATTTAAATTTATAGTTCTTTGATACAGTTTCAGCTATACAGTGTTCAAACCCCAGAATGTTCCCTTTACCCTTGTCTCGAAATTTCCTCGCAATCCACACCCTGCTCCTCACCCTCGGTAAACTCAGTTCTGTAGACCAGTTCTCAAGTTCTCTCGCCTGTGACCATTTGGTATTTCCATAACCCTCAAATGTGAGAGATTATTCTGTGTCTATCTCTCAATCAACATGAAAATGTCCAGTTCTGTCCCCTGTAGTAGAAAATTGCATGATTTCATCTTTCTTTACAGTCGACTAATCCATTATGTATGTATACTGTGGTTTCTTTAGTCAGTCATTTGTTGTTGGATACTCCTATGTTGTTTCTAGGTCTTGGTTATTGTGAATAGTGCTGAAATAAACATTGAAGCAAAAATAGAATTGAGCTTCCATATGACCCAACAATGCCACATCATGGCAATTGACCCACAGGCACCAAAACACTCTATTTAGAATACAACCATTATTCATTTTGATAACTAACCAACTTTGTGTAGTTATTGGATGTTTAAGATATTCTTAGATATAGTTGAGAATTATACCAGTTGAGAAAGAGAAAACTGTCATTTTTATAGTGATTTTTATTCATAGTGCATGCTAAAATGATATTTGCCAAAAGTTATTAAAACTAATTTATTTTCCTTTTGGTTTCTGGATGTAGCTACGTAAAATTTTGAACAATTTGTATTTCTTGCATTTGAAGCTCACACTCTATTTCAAATGGTACTGATTTAGGTATTCCCATAGTGGCAGTTACATAACATTTAGGGAAGATGCTAAGGGAAGTTGACAGTGACAAGCTGATTGTTCTGCCTGTTGAATGACCCACCTCTTACTGAAGTTCATGCCATCCGTTCATAACACTTTCTCCTCTTCTAAACGCTCTAGAAACTTTGAACAATTTGAACAATTGTCCCTGAAACTTTGATATTCAGGGACTTATTCCCTACTCTAGACCACTACCATCCTTGAATGTGGCATGCAGTTCCTGCAAAATGTTTTTAATCTTTTAATAACCTGTATTTTTTTTTTTTTTTGCCTTTTGGGTCATACCTGGTCATGCACAGGGGTTACTCCTGGCTTTGCACTCAGGAATTACTCCTGGCGGTGCTTCGGAGACCATAGGGGATGCTGAGAATCGAACTCGGGTCGGCCACGTGCAAGGCAAATGCCCTACCCGCTGTACTATAACTCCAGTCCCTAACCTGTATTTTTACTGATGAAGTTTTTTCAACCTAGTTTTTCCTTTTCAATATGTTTATTCTTGTCTCCTATCACTGCCATACATGCCATTTGCATAAAGATAATATGTACTTAAAATTAGATTAATCTTTACCAAATAAACTTTAAGGAAACTATAATTGAATCTAAAGTATAGGGTTTTATTACCTTAGCTGTTAATGGTGACTGTATTTTTGTATGTAGCCTTGTACATAGTGTAGCAATCAAACATGAAACTAAAATTATTAAAGATAATAACAAGGATCAAAGACTTTATCTTTGATCACTAGTTAAAAATGACAGACATTACAATGGTTAACACTATTGCTCTTTTCACATATAAGAAGTTGTAGTTGTGAATCCTATTTTTGAGGTGTTTCATGTTATAAATCTTATTTTTGAGGTGTCTCACTCCAAAACTATGGCTTTAAGTTATATTTGTGTCAAAACAAGTAACTCCTCTCACCATTCATCAATACTATATACTGGTAATATGACTATTTGTCTCCACTTTGTTTTTTGGAGGGGCCATACCCACCTGTGCTCAGTGCTCACTCCTGGTAGCAAGGCTATTTTTTCTTTTTTAGAATTAATGTGATTAGAATCTACATATGTATATCTATATATTTATATATATATGAATTTATATAGATTTATTTTCAGGAACTAATTTGGATCTACTCTTCCTTTTCAGGTTCAAAACATTATTTGTGGCCGGAGAACGATGTGATGTTGAGACCCTGGAGTGGTCAAAAAAGGTCTTCAGAGTCCCAGTGCTGGACCACTGGTGGCAAACTGGTGAGCTTTTTCAAAGCATGTACTGAAGTAGTTCTCAATGCGTTATTTAAATGGTCTTATCTCTTTAATGAGAGGAGGAAGATTTGAACTATGACCATTCATTAGTCACAAAGTCAGCATATAATGGTACTGGTATAGTATAAATAAATGATTCTTTGTTTGTCCTATTGTTAAAGATAATTTCATAAACTAAATGGCATTGATGTAACCATTCTCTTGGTCCCTAGGTAAAAAGCACTGAAGACTTTTTTGCTTCTCCTACTTTGTTTCCTCTATCTAGTAAGTCACTAAATCTCACATTTTCTCTTAAAGTGTCTGTGGTCTTCATCACATATTCACTACCTTCATTACCTTTGAAGCCTTTTATCACCTCCCCTGAGTGATTCATCCTCTTCTCTCATCTTTTCACTTTCTTTTCCTATACACATTAAACATTATACCTATTTGCTTTTTTTCCCAAGTACTGTTCTGTTTTAGGATTTCCTGTGGGTCTCTGAGACCCCTTCTTGTGTTCTAAAAATATTAAATCTGTTCTGCCTTAAGGCAGACATATACTTTCCTTCATGACACTTATTATTGTATTTATGATTTATTTACTTATCTTATTCTTTGTTTTCCTCCCTCTAAATCAGGGATGTGTAACTTTTTATCTCCTACAAAGAGCATTTGGATATTTATAGCATCAATTTCAGGCCTTTCAATTCAGTCAGGGGGTGACAGCAAAAAGCCCATGAGAAGCATTGGGGTCTGTCCTATAATGAACCATTCTAGAGCACATGATTTCAAGGGCTTTATCTGACTTGGAGCCAGATGTTCCTTCTCCCTGACTAATTGACACCCAGGTAATAGAATGTAGATATAATAAGAATTTTGGTATTAAAATGTCTTTAAAACATTTATGCTTTTTGTTTCAAGAGATGTTTACGTGTCTATGTGACATAATGGTTTAGTCATTTCACAATCACACCGAGTATAGAGATTTGCTTGATTTTCTGTTGGGCCTAACACCTTCTCATACATACAGATTTCATTTTAATTTCCCCTTAATTCACTAAATTAGATCTGCTATTTTATATTAGTGGTTTTTGAATTCCTGACTTCAGAACAACTGAGCCAGAGTATACAATTTTAATGAAAAACATTAATAAAATTCCTTGCAAGAATTAGGTCTTTTTTAATTATATAGTTGGAAACTTAACTGTTTTAAATTTTAGTGTCTAAAACTTACGTGTTTGATAGACTAAAGTCTAATTCTCTTATTTTGATAATTGATTTTTTCTTTTCTTACTTGGTACTGCCTAGATATTGCTGTTGAAAAAATGTTTTCTGTGTACTTTGCAATATGAAATAAAGTGATCAGAACAGAGTATGCATTCCTTATATAAGATGAAAATCAGAAATGTATTTTCTCTTTCTATTTCTAGTTTGGTTTGTTGAAGAGACATGTCTTATGTAAATTAAGATTTATAACTATTGGGGAAAGTAAAGGGATGACAAGATTTCTTTTGGAGAAAGAATTACTTTATGAGCAAAAATAACAAAGAAATAAAGAATTTTGTGTGCTTATCAAGTTGATGCATTGATGCCCTATTCTAGGGCAATTTTATAAATTATTTTTCCTGGGGAAAAGAAGGAAAATACCTTATCATCTGTAACATAGTTTCCTTGCCTGGTAAAATGGAGGTATATTTCCCACATAAAGGCATGTCACACAAATGCTTGGGAAGTTCTGTTTTACACTTCTTAAATGTGATAGTTTTAAAATTTGTTGAAGGAAGCCAACACATTCATAAAATTATGATTCTTTAACTTTTTCTTATTGTTACCCTTGCACTTAATTGCTTGTGCATATGTATGCATTAATATACCAAAAAGCTCATTGAAGCCTAATAAATAAGCATGTGAGTTCCCTAGTGGGTTCTGTTTTTTTTTTTTAATGTGATTGCCGTTTTTTTCAGTGTACTGTTCAGTGGGAATTAATAGCTATATTATGTCAGTGCGCTGTCACTTTAATCAGCTTTGGATAGCTGCTCATTACTGTGGAAAGCATAGTGGAGTCAACTAATAATGATAGATTATTCCCATCCTCCTTTTCAATTTCATTTGATATTCTTTCCAATCAAAATATGCAGGAGTGGGAAAGCAGGTAGCTCGATAGTTTTGCATTTTATATAAGAAATTCATTCGAGGTGATGGAATGTCAGTTACTAACAGAAAATGTAGTTCAGGTCTTGATTTGTTTGCATAGGAGAGATCAGTTCATTAGTTTCAGAGAGGATGTTGTAGGGACTAATTGCAGTGATAGTGACGTTCAGCCTTTGCACTGTTCATCTTCCTTACAGTGATATCAAGTTTATCTTAAAGTGTTATCAAATTAAATCACTGTAGGGGAAAGATTATTATTAACTCAGAAAAATTAATATTCATAGAACATTCATGAATTTTGCTAATGTTTTACATATCAAATAGATGGTGGTGTGCATTCCCGTGAGGTATGCTAGTCAGTATACCTGATAACATTTGAGGTTTGACCTTCATTTGAAATTAGAGAATTATATCATTTCAGTTTTTGAGTTTCCTACAAAGTTGTTGCCATTGGCTTAGAAATTGATTTTTTAAATACAATCACACACTTATATGAGCCTTCCATACAATGTCTAATTTCTGAATTTGTTTTCTGATAATATTAATATATGTATATAAATGTGCTGCCTAATTTGGAATTAGTGATGGCTAAGTTAAATTACTAATGTATGAATAAAAATTGATTAGCTCCCGCGAGTTGAGTTGCAAGAAGCCACACTGCAGTCAGTCCATTTATATTACCATATTGTTTTTGTTAAACAAGTGAAACTTGTATTAGAAATAACAGGTTTCTAGTGAATAACATCACCCTTAGGTCTAATAGGTCTAATCGTTCCTTGATATCTGATTTAAGTAATACCTAAGATTTTAGAGTCTAAATTGGGAACGGGTTGTGAAATATTTGAAACAAATAAACTCCTCATAGAAGCATTTTACAAAAAAAAAAAAAAATCCGTGCTGTACGGTTTGATCCCCAATGCATACAAAAAATTGATTTTTCATTCTTTAAAATCTCTGAGATATGAGTGGAAGATATTTAGTAAGGTGGTCCAATCCCCGCTTTCTTATAAGATCTCCAGAGCACCACCAGGACTAACTCCTGAATGCAGAGTCAGAAATAACCCCTGAACATCTCTGGGTTTGGGCCAGGAATCAAAAATTAGGGGGAAAAAGGAACAAAAATGCACAAAATAAGGAAAAAATCTTTAAAAAAAAACAATCCAAACCTCTCAGATATTTAGCACTGGTTTTGGAGTATAAACATGTAAAACTTTAATGCTCTCATGAAGTTGTTCTTGCTAATTGTAGATATAATAGTTTACTTGATTCATGAATTTAGATAAAAGACATGTTTTTGTTCTTTCCAGATACTTTTTCTTCAGAGCACCTTATCCAACTTATTCTTAAAATGATTGAAAACATCTTGAATATTGGTCAAAATTTTCATTTTTCTATTACAGCGAGAAAAAAGAAGTATTATAATCATAATTAAAAAAAGAAACTTAAAAGTATAGATAATTGTTTTGTTAAAGTATAGAAATTGATGTACAAAATAATAAACAAAAAATTTTATTACCTTCAATTGTTTAATCACCAGAAAAAAATTTTGATGTTGTAGATTATTTTTAGAACTGAGAAAATTTTCCAGAAATGAGAACTAAGCACAATTTTAGAAAGAACTTTTGGTAAAGTGCATGGTGTCCTTTGCAAGATGTTACTTTTCTGATTTAACCTGACCTAAAAAAGAACTTGTTTTCTTACTAGTGAATGATCTAGCACATGCCAAAAAAATTCCTTAATTTTTATAAACTAAACCTAAACTGCAGTAGATTTTCCTTCTGGTGGATTTCTTCTCTTTCTTTCTTGTTCTTTGTTTTTCTTTCTCCTTTCCCTCTATTCCATCTCTTTGTCTTTCTGCCTTTGTCATTCTCTCTCTCCCTCTCTTTTCCTCTCTCCCTCTCCCCCTTCACTCTTTCTTCCTCCCTCTCTCTCTCCCCTTCCTTCCCTCTCCCCTCCCTTCCTCCTCTCATCTTCAGGTTTTCTATACAATATGAGATGCTGGTTGAGAAATTGTTATAATAAAACATTGTAGTTTCATTTTTTAATGTTAATTTAATCCTCGTAGAAATAATTTCTTCTTGTGTGCTAGAGAGATAGTACAGCAGTGGGACACTTGCCTTGTGAGCAACTGACCTGATTTCAATTCCCTGAATATGGTCACCTGAAGCCCCTCCAGGAGTGATTCTAAGTAAGCCCAACCTCAGCAGATTGTAGTCCAAACCAACCAAGCGACCAAAGAAAGTACGTTGTTTGTTTTTCTTTTGGCCAGTTAGTTGAAGGTTAAATTTGTAAAGTTAATATACTCAAAATCCACAAAAGCTTTCATAAGAGCCTATTTGGTAAAGGGTTTATATCAAATTTATATCAAATGAATTTATGCTTCTTTCCATTTACTGTCACACAACATTTGTGCGGCTCCCTGTAGATAATGTAGAGCTTAAATTAAAAATATTTCAAGTGGGGCTTGAACGATAGTGCAGTAGATAAGGCGCTTGCCTGGCAAGCAGCTGACTCTGGTTTGATCCCTGGCTACCTATAAGGTCTCTAGAGTCTCCAGGAGTGATCACGACTTCAGAGCTGGGAGTGAGCCCTGAGCACTGCCAGATGTGGCCCCCGGACAAGCAAACTAAAACCAAGAAATATGTCAAGTCACTGAAATCCAGGAGGAAATCATAAAGCAATTGAAGTGATATCTACCGATGTGAACAATAGTTGATGATTTTTTTTTAGTTGATGATGATAGTTTTTGTTTGCTTAGTTTCTGTTATTTAGTGGACCAGGAAAATTCTTCAGAGAAGTTCAAAACCCCTAGAGTGATTTTGATGAAATAAAAAAAAAGGTAGTCACCTAATGGA